AGCAGCGTTCCAAAAGCCAACCTCCATGTAACTATCGTATGAATTATTTTGTCTACGCTGACACTGCTTTATTGAAAGCCTGCTGTTTTAATCGGATAATATATCAACATTGAACTCGCTCAGCAATTCAAGCGGGTGAATCATGATGCATTGAATATGAATACGAATTAGAGTGAAACAGTCATATTCCTTGTGAAAAGTAAATTTATCTCTATTGAAAAAATACACGCACGATGTCGTGTGTGAATTTTTTCGGATAATTTTAGTTAAAATATCTATGGTTATTTGTCATGAAAGAGAAATAGAAAAATTGCCTGAATACCATGGCTCTGGCTAGATCATGAATACATTGGCATGTGTCGTCAGTAGAATAAATGCCGAACATCTCACTCTCGGAAAATCGTAGAAATCTGTTGTCCTCACCTATGAACTGCTGCCACCAGGTGTGGGATACAATAGTCACAAGGTACTTCAATCAAAATTTGTCGAATCCCGGCGAAATTTATCAATAGCACGGCATTAGCTCGAAAATTACCAAAGCACCACCCCCTATTCATTTTATTCTCTCCTAAAACAAAGAAAGCCAACATGGTGACAATTCGCTAAAGTATTCTTGAAAAAATTACTTTTTTCCTGCAAGAGGGCATCAAATACTAACGTAGACCCTATATTCCTTCTCAGCAAGTGCTCAAGAACTGCTAATATTGAAGGGGCAAGAAAATGGAGGCAAGGGCGAAGCATACAACATCAACAAATGAACTAGCTGCGATCACAGCTGCAGCGCAGTGTCGAAGGGCACGCAACACTGGCGTCCACGAATATGCAAAAACTGCTCCCGACGCTCTCCCCGACAGACAGCCGACAGCTGCCGACGAGAAATGGGTCTCCCGCGCACTGGCGTTCACGAGTCGCTAGTTCCACAAGCGGGGCTGCCGGTTGCCGATAAGGTGCGTGCGGGGAGAGACGTCATATTTTTATAAGCGGCCCCCTCTGGTGCCTTTCAGCCAGAGCCAGAAGAGAGGCGAGCTTTCGCTCTACGCTGCGCACGCTGCTACCGAACTAACTGCAGGCTATGCCGGATACGGCGCCCAGCAATGCCTGTGCGGGGTGCATGTCCAATACCGGGCGAACGCATTTATATGCGCTTTTCGACCGATACTGTGCCTCAGTGTGTACCCGCCACGAAGTTAGTTCGTACGATTCCTGGCGAGTGTCCACGCAAGCACCGCACCTATTTCTAACCTAGGTAACATATCCGGCCGGCACGTTCGACTGATGATAAACAGCGCAAAAGACGCCTCTACACAAAAAGTCAGAGACGCAGGACGCGCGCTCTTCCTCCACCTGGGTGCTCATCTTTTCGGCGTCCTTACGTTCGCGCTGACGCTGGTGGGGACACTCGCGTCAAACCGAAGCGAAAGCGTTCGACGTTCTCAGTCGCGATCATTCAGCAGCGTCAATCGCAGCCGCACGATCCGCTCTGCCCCCGTATACGGGCTTCGTATCTCAGAATTCCAAATGTGTGAGCCGGAAAGACACGGCAGCATTCTGTGCTCCCTGCCAGTTATGTTTTTTTTTTGCCTTTCACGTTATTGTTAGCGCTGATGCTTATTTTATTTTGTCCTTCTTTTTTGTATAGCAAGATTTCGGACCCCCCCTCCTCCGTGCAATCCGATGCCCTCTTTACGGATTAAAAAAAGAAAATCCTTTGAAAGCGATCGCCCGAATCAACAGACGCCAGGCGATTCCGATTGTACCGTTCCTCTGAGCTGTAGGCAAGGTGATGATGCAGCCGTATAGGGGGCGTGCAGAAATGACAGTCACTTTTCTTCAAGCGTTGCTGCTGAAGTACTGAAGTGCTAGTTTTTTTGCCTATTTTGCCGTTCAGCTTAATTGTATTTGGTTATTACTGTATTTTATTTTGTTTTATTTTTACTTTGATTTGTGCATTGGGGTGGGGGGGGGGGGGGCAAATAGATTCGGGGTGTGTTCCAACACACACGGCTCTCCGCTAAAAAGACGTCCAACTTGGAGAGCGGCCATCTTAAGTTTCGTTCCGATTCTCGTGCAACCGGTAAAATAAACAGTGTCGGAGACAACTAGTTTGAACACTACGTTCGATGCTCAAACAAAATGGCGGCTGATTGACGTTTCTGGATCTCGCCAGTATGGTCGTCTTCCCACAAGAGAACGCCTTTCTGCGTGCGAAGTACTCTCAGTTTTTTTTTTCGTAGAATGCAGGGAACTACAAAAAAAAAACGTACTGTAAATAATCATTGTATGTGTCTTTAGAATTGTGTTGTCGACTAGAGGGAGCGTCACCTCGCACTGACGTCACGAAGACGCATGTCATTACCTCATAGACTGGGACTTGATGTTGCGTTATATAAGCTAATACTAAATATCCGTGGCTTTAGTTGCAAAGTTTACAATGTAACGATAAGGCACAGCCGTAATAAAGTTGTCGGTAAATTTCGACCACCTGGAGCTCCTAAACGTG